ACACTCAAAACCTACTCCCCATACTCAAAATACCGAGCTCCCCCTTCTACATGAAGCTAGACCACACAAAAGAAGGATAAGGGGACCAAAATGCTGAAATTCAGGGGCAGTTGAGTTGCCTACTGCAGATCAGCGGGCGCTCGCAGTGGCTCACGGGGGCTTCCGCGGGGGCTGATCAAGGGCCCGCGGAAGTTGGCAGACAGTAGGGGGAATTAGTGGGCGCCCGCGGGAGCTTGCAACTGCACTTCATCCAGGCTTTATTTTGTTGCAAGCTTCTGCGGCTGGAGCGAAGACACACTTCTACTATGAACCCTAAGGAAGTTCCAAAAACGGCGACTGAAAAGGTTAGGTCCTAAAGATGACTCCCCGACACGGCGCACGTATTTCAACAGAAAGTTGTCAAAACCGCTTCTTTGATCATTTTAGGAAAAAATACCTGAAATCAGAAAGAAATACACAACTGAATTAAAATTGTACATTATCCTCTAATAATGGACTTAACTAATGCAAGAAAGGGCGCTTGAATATGTAATATTCGGCGCTCATCACACCCCCAAACTTACATTTTGCTAGTCCCTTAGCAAAATAAGACAAAGAGCTTAATGTAAATGACGACCAATGAAATGCTAACACATGCAACAATCATGAAACAAAAATATCGACGAAGCTCAACTATGATTTGGGACACAGAAAATTTGAAGATAGACATTAGGCAGACTACCTTGCATATATGAAGCCTTAACACACAAAATGGTAAAACAAGTTCAACTTAAATGCATCAATCATCAAGGTCTATATAAACACTTCAATTGTCATCTCTTGAATAACATGAACTTTGACTTTAGTGAAAGTGAGCTGACTTCCTGATATGTGGCTTTTACCCTCTTTTCTAATTTCAAGAACACATTTTCACATCCTTAAATCTCCTTCTAAATGAGGTCTCCAAGGCATAACTTTATTAACTAAACAACTTTTGTTGCTTATTGACAATTTTATTAATCAACTCCAAAGATCACCTATTATGGTCGTGCAATGTCGAGAATTCATTAAGCTTTCTAACCAACCCATATAACAAGTGTTAGGCCAACAACTCCCAAGCCAGATGGCTTTAGGGCGCTAAGTGTAAAAACATTTCTAGGGCTTAATAACTCGAATTGGAAATGTTACGAATTTCGACGAACCATCTTTATTTATTTTTTAACAACCGTGCAATGTCTAAGTTCTTTAAGCTTTCTAACCAACCCATGTAACAAGTGTTAGGCCAACAACTCCCAAGCCAGATGGCTTTAGGCTGCTAAATGTAGAAACACTCCTAGGGCTTAATAACTCGAGTTGGAAAGGCTATAAACTTCAACTCGTCATTGATTTTTTTTTTTTTTTTTTTTTTTTTAATGCCAAGGATATCCATTCATTAGGGTCATTAATTCAAATCACCGAGTCTCGATCAGGGTCAATTTGGGTTGCATACCTCACAATTAGGTTTTCGGTGTGCAAATGTGCAATGTGAAGCATAACAGAGTATGAAATCCGACAAAAATTTAATTGAAGTTTTTATACAAACCGATTATGAATCAACATCTTTAATTCAAAAGTTTCTTTATTATCAAAAAATTTGTCTTGGCTTCTATACACAAAGTATTAAACACATGCTTCAACCTTCAAAAAGTTCCCTTTAAACAATATGATTTTATTAACTTACGAGCATAAAAAATGAGCAAAAATATCAAATAAGCAAAAATATCAAAACTGCAATAACATGCTCATGCACCAAAAATGTAATAGCATGCACATGTACCCCCAAACTTGAATGTCACATTGTCCCTAATGTGAGAAGACAAGGGACAAGCAATGAGAATGAACAAAGGGGGAAAGGAACAATAGTACCAAGTTGAGAGGATTGGAGTGGCGGTGCAAATATAGGGCAACTCGTGAATTCCAAGAGCATGCCCCCAAACTTGGTTTCAAAAACCTGTCAAAAGATATATATACATGGCAAGAATCATATGAATCCAAATTTAATGAAAATAACTGCAATTTATTTGACTAAAAACTATAAGCTATGCAAAGTAGCAAAAGTGATGCAGTTATAAGTGCAAAAGAAAAACTGAAAAGCAATTGTCAAACGCGGCCCAAAATAAGTTTAAAAAGTACTACTGAAAAGGGAAATAAGACAAAAAAATATGAAATCACTCCACCATTGGAGTAGAGGAGGAAGCACCAGGTGGGCCAGGTGCACGGTCAATTAATGACTGGAGCATAGCCTGCAAAATCTCTTGATTCTCCTGAGTCTTTTGGACGGCACCCTCTATGGCATCAAAATGCAAGGAAAAGGCATCGAGATGAGCATTCAAGGCGAGATAGTCGGCGCGAGTCATGACATCCGGCAGCGGTACAAAAGGGGCAGCTGGAGAAACAGGGGCATTAGGAGCAGGGGGAGCAGGAGCCACAGGGGGGGCAGAGCACCCCAATCCAACTCGTCACCAATGCGGGCCTAACGGGA